ATGAGGTATGGCAACTTGAACTGATGTACGTACGTACGTATGTACGAAGTTCTATGTTGTGGTTGACTGACTGAATTCTTAACATTGAATAGTCAGGACATCCAAGGAACAGACTACGCCGAGAAATAGAGAAAGATATGAGAGGAATGAACAAACATTGGACAGAACTGGAGAGGGAAGCCCAGGACAGAGTTGGTTGGAGAAAACTGGTGGGCGGCCTTTGCTCCATTAGGGGTAACAGACGAAAGTAAGTAAGTAATAGTCAGGACATGCATGGTATATGAGTGAATTTATTGATTTTGCATATTATTCGAAGCATGATGTTATACAGCTGTTACTCTGTAACTTACAGTTCCAGTGAGATGACTATTTATGGATGGATATTAGATGGTATGAGTCTTGGAGTAAAATTCATTCATGAGTATAGCTGATAAAGAACTTTGGCATTATAGTTTACGTCAGTTCTTGACGAACAGCCTAATTTCTAACTCTACATTTCCAGTTTTATTGTCTCACGCTAATTTACGACCCTCATTAAGTAAGTAGGCGTGTTATTTCTCAAGGTCACTGTGGTGTCGTTCAAAGGTCACTCATAAATGATCGTTTTACCACAGTTCTATATTTTTTGTGGATTTATGGGAATGATACGATCCTCATTTTGATATCATCTTAGTGTGATTAGGAAAGTTTGCTGACATTATAGATCATTACTATCATTACACTAACTGTTAGGAAATCTTGATAGTTCTTTTATAAAGAAGTTTCCAAAAGTCAAGAAAATACTGTCAATACTTTGATGGATCAGTATTTTTGAGAAACTTTCACACAATTTTTAAGAAACCATTAATTTTATCCTCATACCCTCCTCATATTGGACATTGATCGGTGTTTTAGTCAGTTTCACAATGCTTTCGGGAAACTTCTGTCATATTAACGTGTCATATATTGGATTTTTTTCCAATTTTAAGAGTTGAATACTTTTGAATGCGAATAAGTTATGAAATATATGGTTACTATTATTTGATAAAGTGACACTGTAATTAAAATGTCGCCTGATTGTTTGTTACAAGACTAGACTTGGTCCAGTATAAAGTCTTTGGAGTGTGTATAGACTGAAGTAAATCCTTCAAAGAAGCATAAATGTTTTTTTTTATCTACAGTAGTGCTCTTGTTAGGACGCAGCTGGACGATCTGGACTTCGCAGATGACCTGGCTCTTCTATCGCACACTCAACAACAAATGCAAGAGAAGACGACCAGTGTAGCAGCAGCCTCTGCAGCAGTAGGTCTCAACATACATAAAGGAAAAAGCAAAATTCTCCGATGCAACACAACATGCACCAACCAAATCACTCTTCATGGAGATGCCTTGGAAGAAGTTAACACCTTTAAATATCTGGGCAGCATCATCGACGAGAAAGGTGAATCCGATGCAGATGTGAGGGCGCGGATCGGCAAAGCAAGGGCTGCATTTCTACAGTTGAAAAATATCTGCAACTCCAAACAACTTTCAGGATTTTCAATACAAATGTCAAGACAGTTCTACTGTATGGAGCAGAAACTTGAAGTACTGCGAAAGCCATCATCCAGAAGATACAAGTGTTTATTAACAGTTGTTTACGCAAAATATTTTGGATTTGTTGGCCAGACACCATCAGCAACAACGTACGGTGGGAGAAAACAAACCACATTTCAGTGGAGGAGGAAATCAGGAAGAAGCGGTGGAAGTGGGTAGGACACACATTGCGGAAAGCACCTAACCGCGTCACGAGACAAGCCCTCAAATGGAACCCTCAAGGCAAAAGGAAAAGAGGAAGGCCAAAGAACACACTACGCCGAGAAATAGAGAAAGATATGAGAAGAATGAAAAGTTATTGGACAGAACTGGAAAGGGGTTCCCAGGACAGAGTTGGTTGGAGAATGCTGCTGGTGGGCGGCCTATGCTGCATTGGGGGTAACAGGCGTAAGTAAGTAAGTCTTGTGCTTCTCAGTTAATCTTTATTGAATATTGAATACATAAAAACTTTTAGATCCCTATGAGAATATTGTACATTGACGAATCAAAAGGGGGAATAATACAATTGAATATGTAAGGTAAGTTTAATTCTGATAACTGACATAACAGAGCGCAGTATCAATTAGAAATTGGCGACCTATAACACATTTTTTCAAGCAGATCTATGGTTAGCTTTTAACAGTAACAAAATAGATGTCAAGTTTATAATAGGTGAATTTCGTAGGTTACTAGTCTTCGATCATAGGTGTCTCCGAAGCATTGCTCGTCTATCGTAGAACAACCGTATAAGCAATGGCGTCGTTAGGAAACGAGTACTAGGGGTAGGGATGGCAAATCAATAGATGAATTAGTGAAACTTCATCAGTTGAGGTGGTTGGGACATGTGTTACGTATGGCTAACCACCGACTACCTCGACGAGTGATGTTTTGTGGTGTAGGAGGAGTAGATTGGAAGAAAGCTAGGGGCGTCCAAACTAAAACATGGCAGAAATCCATGAAGTCACGGATCAGTGGACTGAGTCATGTTGGTAGATGTCGACTATCTGGTTGGGTGTTCCGCGAGACGATAGTCACCAATGGTTAGAGACCCTAAACGATATGGCTCAGAATTGTTTTCAATAGCACAGGTGCATCCACTGTTTGTGTTCTCTCTAATTCTAAACTTCTTCATTCCTCATAATCTTTACCTTTCTCCTTCTAAATTTATCTTATTAAATTATACTTCTGGAATCATACATAACATATACTCTCTAATCTTCTGCATTACTGTTAATACTTCTATTATTGCTATCACTATTGGATTTGAACTGACAGTTACGTCTCTGTGTGCTGCTAATGTGGTGATATGGCAACTTGAACTCTGATGTACTTACTTACGTACGAAGTTCTGCGTTGTATCTGTCTGTCTGTCTATCTATCTGTCTATAGGTGAATAATTACATTTGTGTATAACATGACATCAATTGATATGACGTCATTTAATTAAGTACTCACTCAACTATGGGTTTTTTTTTCTATTTCTAATAGACATCGATTCAATTAATTAATTAATCACGTCATTGTTATTTGATACTTTAGAAAAAAAAATAATTATTTTTTTTAAATATTGAAACACCTCATGATTAGTTAATTAAAAGTATCATCATATTAATTGATGAAATAATTTATCTCTATTAAGTTATGATCGATTTTGAATGATCTGAGTTGAAATATAAACTGTGTGAAATTCACTTACTCTCAACTAGAATCATGCACTATATAACTAACTACTAGACAGAGTAGAAATGAGATTGTAGTGCAGAAAGTCAAATGCTGACTTGTTTACTATTGTGGTGTGAGCTACTTATTATAAGTAGTATATGACGTGAGTGTCAACGTAATGTCTGGTGGCAGCAGAAGATGGGGTAAGATCAAGAAAAGAAGAAGAGTGGGAACACAATGGAATTTGTGTATGAAACGCATGAATAGTGACAATGGATTGTTGATGTTTTGCAACAGGAACAGTCCAGTTCGATATGCAAATGAACGATTTACGCTATGGTTGTCCGATTTTACTGAGTAACTCTGTAATCAACCAATCATTGTTAGACCGTTATTAGAAACTTGAAAGCATCAATGGACGGTCGTTTCTTCCTGATATGGGACTAATCATCAACAGTGAGCATCCACGACACCTGCTACCCTCTGGATGATTTCAGTGTGTAAAACACTGACTTCTATAACTCTGATTAAAAAAAACCGTACATTGTATTCAGTAGTAACTAGCTTCTTGAGGGAATTCTCGGGGTTCTAGTGAGAAGACATGATCAGTGGAGTTCAACCCTGTCGGGTGTAAGCAGTAAATACCGAGGACAAATGGGTGAGTTCACGCAAAATCCCTAGATTGATCAGAGTTAGACATAAACAACGATAGAAGGCCGCCCAGTGGTCCAGGGTTTATGCATTCCTGCACAAGACTGGAGGTCGTGGGTCCAAATCTTGCGAGTATCAAGATTCATGGATGCACACAGCTGATGAGATCCATATCAGGACAAAATGACCGTCCAGTGCTTCCAGGTTTCTAACGCTGATCTAACAATGATTGACTGATGACTTAAATCTACTCACTATGATTAAATGAAGTTGAGAATAAGAAATTGAGTTGTTACATGATCGATAACCCAAAAGAGTAAATAATTATGATCTCTAAAGTGATCTTAGTTTAATAACTATAGAAAACCATAAAGGTTTGAACAGTTTTTTTCATTCTAGTATGTGACTCTTTAGTGAGTGTAAGTCTTTAGCCAGGAACCATCAGCTACAACGTACTGTTGGAGAGAACAAACCAGATTCCAGTGGAGGAGGAAATCAGCAAGAAACAGGGGAAGTGGATAGGACACACACTATGAAAAGCATCTAACTGCGTCACGAGACAAGCCCTCACATGGAACCCTCAAGTCAAAAGGAAAAGAGGAATACCAAGGAACACATTACACCGAGAAATAGAAAAAAGATGTGAGAGGAATGAACGAACATTGGACAGAACTGGAGAGCGAAGCCCAGGACAGAGTTGGTTGGAGAAAATTGGTGGGTGGCCTATGCTCCTCTATTGGGGTTAACAGGCGTAAGTAAGTAAGTAAGTAAGTAAGTCTTTAACCTCATCAAAAGTTGAAATGAGAACTTACAAACTTTCTGCGATCAACCAACCTCTAAGCCATTGATTTGGTATACATTATCATACATAAATAACTCTAACCAACACCTATTGCCTGTGTTACATAACCCCATCTAGCCCTCAACATAATTAAAATCAATTTTTATCATGATTCAAAACTAAACTATGTAACAAAAACTGTTACTTTATAATGCGTAAGTTTTAATAACATCAAGTATGTATCACACTCAGTGTAAATTAATACCGATAGGGTAACTAATTACATTTAATAACAAATAACATTCATAAAAATATATACAAATATTTATTTTAATTACAATAATATACTTACATTGTTTCTGTTTTCTGTGTAGAGTTCGTTCAATATTCAATAAATTCAATGTTCAATGAATTTAATATCCAATATCCGCACGAGATAAAACAAACCAAAATTAACTTGTAATGTTTCAATTGTTAACTGATGTACATATATATATGTACTTATATATTTATTTACTTATTGCGTAAACCAAATTTTGATCGTCTCATCTAATTTCTATTTGGAAATAAATATATATATATATATAGAGAGACACACGTGAACTAATGCTTTAAACAAAAGATTATTGTATATAAATATCTAAATTATAATAAACGAATTTGAATTGGATACTTAATTCTAAATGAACATTGAATGAGTCGATTAAAACAATCATCATTACACAATCCATCAATCAACCAACCAATCTATGTGTACATCCAAACCAACTGTCGAGATTTTTTTTTGGACTACAAACCAAAAATACCCGTATTGTAGAAAGAAAATCAAAAAAAAAACAAATCGAAAACTCCACAAATCTAACTTGATTAGATAGATGACCATCCTGTCAAACAACTCATCATTGTACATGATACGCCATGGAATTTATACTATACTAACTTACAAGATGTCGTCTACTAGACGGATATACAATATATATGTAGATATATACATAGATATATATATATGTGTCACAAAGATAATATGTAATAGAGACTGGTTAGTTAAAATATTTGACAAATAGAAATCAGTTTAGTGATGCTCAGACACACACACACACAAACATATAAGCACACACACATACACGCTTGCAAGAGATGAGATACACACAACTATTGACAAACCAGTAATATATTGCATATTTGTCAGTAGAGTGAGTACATAATAGCATAGAATGTGATTGCTTATCCCAATATGGCGGCTCACTTTGAAAATTATAATTATGGATTTGAAAATTCGGTTTTGTATAATACGAATTAGCAATTGGATACATGACGAAGAGTCAATTATGTAAACTAATCATTCCTAATTGACTTACAGCATCAGTCCGCCGTAATAATAACAATTTTTCTTCATTTTAGGGTTATGGAGAGATTGTTGTGTATTTCTAAAATCTTGAATCAATCATTGTTAGACCATCATTAGCAACTTTCGGAAGCACTTGACGGTCGTTTCGACCTGGTATGGGACTTATCAGCAGTGCGCATCCACTAATCCTGCTACTCGCACGGGATTCGAACCCAGGACATTCGGTCTTGCGTGAGAACGCCTGCATCCAACGTCATCCGGGACGAACCGACCGTCTATTGCTTCCAGGTTACTAGTGGTGGTCTAGTCACTAGATTCTTGAGCGATTTCTCGGAGTTCTAGTGAGAAGACGTGACTAGTGGAGTTCAACCCAGTCGGGTGTAAGCAGTAATTACCGAAGACAAATGAGTGATGTTGCCAGAAACTCCCTAGATTGGTCAGAGTTAGACATTAACACCACTGGATATCGGCCCAGTGGTCACAGAGGCTAGGCTTTTGTGCGCAAGGTTTTAAGTCCCGGGTCCAAACCCTGTGAGTAGGGGAAGTCGTGGATGAGTACTGCTGATGAGTCCTATACCAGGATGAAACGGCCATCCAGTGCTTCCAGGTTTCTAATGGTGTTCTGACAATGACTAAATCACGATTTCAGTAATAATAATAATACTAGATTTATTAATTACTAAAAATCTTGTTACAGTGATCAATTCTCAGAACTAACTATTTACTATGACAATAAACTACCCCCTAAATATACATTCGAATTGTAAATGGTCAGAAATAAAGTTTGGATTTTTTCGAAGTTACTATCCGGTGGCCATTTTCATTTTTGAACGTTTTCTGCTAGTTTAACTGACACAACTGGTTTATTGTGCAGTACACCCTACGTAGAAGTGTAGTGTCCAGTAGTAGTATCAATATCAAGTCTACATTGAGTTATTCTAGTGTAATAGAGCGAGTCGCAGTTGAGATTAACTATGATTACCACTACACACCTCAATGACATACCCATCACTGAGAAGATAAGTAAATCCATACTAAAGTATACATTTGCTGGCAATTTTGTGGTATCGAAAGAATACCGAAATCGTGACAGAAAAGAAGGGCAAAAATTACTGAGATAGTGGAGCCAGAATGGCAGCAACACAAACCGGAAGTTTGCACCTACAGAGTAGTAATTAAGAAAGAGGTTCAGTAAAACAATCACTGAAACAGCTGGTTATAATAAGGAATGTTTCGATTAAACTAATCGCATTCTCTTAATAACAGTGGATTCACTACATTAGTTTCTGACAGACCGACCGATTTATTCTTCTCGAGTTACAGATACATCCGTCTGAAGAGTTCCAAATAGGCGATAGTGTACGTTCTTTTCTCTGCTACTTGTTTGCAATTAAACTATTTCCAGTAGGGTTTTATAGAGATAAGTTTAATGTGCAGCTTATATTCATGACAAATCGGTCACATTGGGTACTATTCAAGAGTAGGTATGATGGATGCTACTCACAAAGTGTCATATAAGTAGTATGTAGTGTAGCATGGGCTAGAAATGTCTACCAGACCGAAGAAGAAAACAGTCATTAATCTATTCGTTTTGAAAATGACGTTTACACATTTTGTTTTTAAACGAACAGTGTCTTCTTTCTAAATATCTGTGCATCTTCCATCTGATCTGGATCTCTTCATATAGGACACAAGGAACACTGAACATCTGTCTTGTTCTATTTTTTTAATTGTCCCACATTTAACGTACCTGAACTCCGCCAGGGACAGTGTCTCTACCGTCTCTTGGTTTTCAATCATCAGTCAGTCAGTCAGTTACAACGTAGAACTTCGTACCTACGTACATCAATTTAAGTTGCTATAACACATTAGCACAGAGATGCAACTATCAGTTCGAATCCCATAGTGACAGAGATGGTAGAAGTATCCGCTGAAATGGAGAAGATAAGGATTCGAAAATAACGATTCGAGAAGTATAATTCAGTGAAATAAATTTAAAAAGAGAACGATAAAGGTGATGAGGAATTCAGAAGATTAGCATTTAAGAGAAAACAAAGAATGGATGCACCTGCACCATTGAAAACGATTTTGAGCCATATCGTACAAGGTCTCTCACCATAGGTTACTTTCGTCTCGAGGACTCCAACAAGGTAGCCTACACCTACCAATATGACTTAATCCAGTTACGAGAGGCTTCATGAATTTCTGCCATGTTTTGGTCTGCCGTCTCTAGCTTTCTTCCAACCTATTCCTACACCACAAAACATACCTAGTCGCGGCAGTCGGTGGTTAGGCATACGCAGCACATGTCCCAACCACCTCATCTGATGCAGTTTCAATATTTCATCTACCGATATGCTATCCCTACCTAATACTCGTTTCCTGACGACATCATTGCTTGCTCGGTTGTCACACAATAAACGAGCACTAATTCAAAGACATCTATAATAGAATACTAATAACCTACAAATATCCTCAACTTTTACTGGCAATGTTTCGCACCCATATAGCCGGATGGAGCGAACTACTTCATAGTAGACTCATTCTTTGGTTAGCAGATGGATCTCTCGCCTGCGCCATAAGTGACACAGGTTAGTGAAAGCCAAGCGAGCCTTCTGTATCCGTGATGAAATTTCGTCAGTCACCAGACCATCACCACTGATGAGACTCCCGAGATAAGTGCAGCAGTCAACACGCTCAACTACTTCACTCCCCATCATTAGTTCAGTTTCCAGTCGCAAGCTAATCTTGATACAACAGTTTTCAATCGTATTACAAACGCGATCAGTCTGTAGAGCAAGCAATCTACAAATCATTGATTGTTATCATGAATATCAAAACTCAACAACAAAAATAAGTATAGAAATATTAAAACAAATGTTAAATTACATCCAAGAAAGCATCAAATATTTTCTACACTACATGTGTGGTTTGAGCTACTTATAATTAGTATATGACGTGAGTGTCAACGTAATGTCTGGCAGCAGAAGATGGGGGAAGATTAAGAGAAAGGAAGAGTTAGAACACAATGGGATTTGTATGAAACGCATGAATAGTGACAATGGATTGATGTTTTGCAACAGGAACAGTCCAGTTCGATATGATGGACTGATATTTTGCAAATTGGCGATTTACGATATGGTTTTCCAATTTCACTAAGTAACTCTGTAATTTTCGTTAAATACAATCCGGTTGCCCCACCTATGTTCTCGTTCACTTCTCATGTAACACAGAAAATAAATAAGTAATTTATTGTAAAACCACATATCTCCCAGATAATTCATAAAATGACTAGAATAAAAAACAAGCAAACTGAATTCCATTGAACATTGGACGGTTTAAGATAGCATTATTATTTCACAATTGCTCATATTTTTAAATAAATGCGGGTCTATCTTGTCACTAATTTAAACAATGAAAATATGTTTTTTTCTCTCAATATTTTCAAACTAAATTAGAAATAACAACGATGAGAATTGTAATTAATTTTACAGAACAGAAACTGTTTTGTTTAAATAAACACAATTTGATTATTGAACATTGAAATGATTAAATAAATAGTACCTGAAAGAATGGTTGCTCTGATTGTTAGAACCGGGCATCGATTTCGTAACTTCCGAGGGAACTCGGCTTTTATCATGAGACGTCTTAATTCTTCTGAAAGAAGACCTTTCAGGGTAGAGTTAAAATGGTTTGAATTATGCTTTTTGGTTAGTGATTTTCATCGAGTTAGTTTTTTTCGTGAGATGAGGTCACCGACCCCATGCCCAACCCCCCTCTTATATCTGTACTTGGGACTGGTAGTAGCCCCAGAGGGGATCCGGGCGGAGTTATTATTGAACACTGAAATGATTAAAAATCTCTTAAACATGCTTCAAAAGTGTTTACAAGTCATTAGCGTATGTGCTCTGGTCGCCTTAACGAGGCACTAATTTTGATCTAATCCTACTTGTGCTCTGAGCTTAATCTCCCTTTTTTATCGTCCATGTTCAATAAATTATTGTTATTACTGCTTGAAAATTAATAATTAGTCATTGTTACGTGGAAATCACGAATGAATCACTGTTAAACAACTATCAGAAACCTGGAAGCACTGGAAGGCCGTTTCGTCCTGATATGGGACTCATCACTAGCTATGCGCACGCATGACTCCTGCTACTCGCAGGATTCGAATCCAGGATGTTCGGTCTTGCGTGTGAACGCCTCACCTATAGACCACTGTGCTGGTCGGCAGTGAGCGATGTTAATGTCCAACTCTGATGCGCAACTGCTGATGAGTCCCATACCAGGACGATATGGCCGTCCAGTGGAGCTTCCAGGTTACTATTGATGGTCTAACTATGACAGACTTAATGTATTCTGATTCAATAAATAAACAAGGATACTGGTATTATAATATTCTACTACTAATTGTACGCAAGATCCTCTGATATAACACAGCATGCAACAACCAAATCACTGTTGAAGGAGAAGCTTTGGAAGTTGTGGAAAGCATCACTGATGAACAAGGTGGATTAGATATACATGTAAAGACATAGATTACCAAAGCAAGGGTAGTATTTCTACAATTTATGAACATCTACAACACAAAACAACTGACAACCAACA